TTGCCTCCCCCCAAACCTGACCCACTCAAACTCACCAGTCTCCCCTAAACGCTGACCCCCCACAAACTCACCAGTCTCCCCTAAACCTGACCCCCTCAAATTCACTGGTCTGAGCCACTCAAACTAATTCATCTCCCCCCAGACCTGACCCCCTCAAACTCACCGGTCTCGCCCCATAACCTGACCCCCTCAAACTCACCGGTCTCGCCCCATAACCTGACCCCCTCAAACTCACCGGTTCTCACCCCCCCCAACTTGACTCACCTGTTCCCTCAAACCCAACCAGCACCAACTCACTGGTCTCTGGTCTTTTTTGTTAGACTACAACTAGACTTCACGGTGAGTCACAGTTATATAACTAACCATGTTGCAGATGACGTTAAGGCCAGCCATGACATTTTAGAAAACATTAAGTTTAAAACGTACATTATATACGTATTAAGACAAAGACGACAAATACTTCACTGGTGGGCTGCCTAAAGAGACCCTGTGTTACTGTAATCGAACACTGTACAGTACGTATCCGCACAGGTTTCAAACCCGTCGGTCCACTGCTGAGGCCACCTACAGGTGTTTATCTGGACACCACCCAAGGAAAACAAGTGCTGAGCTGCAGGTACAGGCGGCTACAAATCGTGGTCAAATACATCGCAGGAGACCAATTAAAGTTCAGCTGGAGCGGTAAAGTCCTAAACACGTAATTAAAAAAACGCTGGTACCCCGGGGGAAACCCACGTCACTAGACAATCTTGGCACTTCCGAACTCCCGAAAAAAAAAAACAGGGACAGGAGACCTCCGTCCCGTTCCGCTCCGTCTCACCAAAACCACACCACAACTCACTGAAGCTACGTTCTCGCTCTACCTTATTCACTCCAGTGTGGCATCGATTTCTTGTAAAGGACTGAGTCGCAATTCTCACGACTGATACTAGTGCTGTCGTTAAAACCTTCCACTCCCGGCCGCAGACTTTCTTTCTCCATTAAAGACTCAAAACTCACAGAGACAGCGCACCGGCGCTTCCTGGTGACGTTGGCGCCAAACAGCTTCAGCACAGACCAATCACAGTAGGAACTGTGTTTGATTGACCGGAGATAAGCCAATAGACGCTGGCCTTCCAACTGTGAGGGGCGTCCAAAAGTTGAGAAAGTTCAGTGTTTTTTTTAGATGCGTCAGTAGTTTACAGGGTGACGTCATGTAGTGACACATGTCCAAATTATGAGCTGGCTAGAGCTGTTATCGTAATATTTACTACATAAATATGAGTTGCTTGGTTTACTATGTTTACGACATTTGCGCATACTCTTTTTTCGGCATTTGTTCCCGACCCTGACCGCCGTTATTGAAAACGCTTATCTCCTAATTCTACCAAACCTCCATCTCCCCAGCCATGGCACCTGGGTGTTGGACTTGAAGATTGAAATTGGATGGCATGATCGATGTCTTTCAGGATTTATGATACACAAATCGAGTCCCTAAATTACCTTTTTTGTCATCTTCTTGTATAAATGTAGGGAAACCCCGCAGACACACGTTTTGTAATAAGCCGTCCTGCTTGGCTGAAAAAGACTATCATTTGAAAAACAAAACATTTCCCAGAGTTTCGGCTACTGTTGTATTTAACAATTATGATCTCACAGACAAATTGTTTTTACCATGTCCGCCTACAGAACACGTGTTGCAATTGTTAACTTTTGTAATATCAAATTAATTCGATAAAAAAAAACTTTCTTCATTCTATGAGAAGATTGCCTGAGTACAAAGGATTAATACAGCATATCTTGGTGTTTTCTATTAAAACCATTAATCTGTTGTTTATGACGAAGTGTGCACCCCAAATTATTTCCTGTCGATCGACTCGTCTCCACACGAATGTGCTTTGTTCTCATGGAAAACACGTTCTTGTGCATACACACCAGGGGGCGCTACACCGGCTCCAGGACGACCACTCCTGTCTGCAATAGCTGGCACATTGCGCGCAGCTGTTCAGTGTCATCTGTATGGCAGAAAATTACAAGTGGTTCAGGTGGACCAGTAGGGGGTGCTCTTCCTTCTGAAGCAGAATTTCTAACTATGACATATTGAACTAACTACATTCTTATTAAAGATCCTATGTAGCTTGTAAGAGTTGGAGTATCAACCCTGATGTCCGGACTAAATTCTATTCTGGGCCTTTACAGTCTGAGGAGCTTCCCTCTCCTCCCCCTGACCTGCTGTGCAGTGGGGCTGTACTGTGTGTCCCAGGTGGGGCTGGTGTGTGTCTCCCAGGTAGAGCTGCTGTGTGTCTCTCAGGTGGGGCTGGTGTGTGTGTCCCAGGTGGGCCTGGTGTGTGTCTCCCAGGTAGAGCTGCTGTGTGTCTCTCAGGTGGGGCCGGTGTGTGTCTCCCAGGTAGAGCTGCTGTGTGTGTCCCAGGTGGGCCTGGTGTGTGTCTCCCAGGTAGAACTGCTGTGTGTCTCCCAGGTGGGGCTGGTGTGTGTCTCCCAGGTAGAGCTGCTGTGTGTCTCCCAGGTGGGCCTGGTGTGTGTCTCCCAGGTGGGGCTGGTGTGTGATCCCAGGATCTTTTCCAGCCGTTTCTTGAAAGTATCAGCTTCAATCACATGGCTGGGCTGCTTGTTCCATATCTGTGTTGCGTTACCCTGCCCCAGCCCCTCAAAAACGTGGGCCATTCTCAGGTGCATTAAAATGCATTTGCCTAATCCCTCCAGACCCCCAGCTGTGGTCTGAAACAGGCAATCCAAATATTCTCTATAAAATAAACAGCTGGACCTGTAAAATATTTTTACAAGATGTGTCTTGGAATTTATTTCACCTACACTCCATAAGATCTGAATGAAAAAATGGATGGGAACTTTCCTGCCCAGTGCCTCATCCCTCCACGGTCCACCCCTCTGCGTGCAGGGGAAAGCGCAGATGCACAGCGTTTCCTATCGGACCTCAGTATCAACATCAGGTTTCAGAGGGGACCCAGCCGTGACTCACAGAGGAGTCACGCCAATCCGCTTCCATGGGAAGTCTTTCCACGCCTCACCACGCCAGCGAGAGAAGGGGATTGTGGGAGTGCTTCTGCACAGGGAGATGCCCCAGAAACGGCCATGCTGAGAAAAGTGCGCCTGTCCCGGTCCCAGAGACGGACTCTGGGATGCAGGACGGGTGTGTTTTAGAGGAGGATGAAGGAGGTCTTTGTCCTGGAAGGCAGCGACAGATCATGTCTGCTGCAGCAGGAGAGTAGGAAGTGGGAATGGGAACCAACCCGGAAGAAATGACTAATCCCGGGCACAAGTGTGGAAAAAGAGAGCAAGACTCTGCCTGGCTTGGAGTATGGAACAGCAGCAGGACAGAAACCAGCGTGTTCCTGTGAATGGGAACGCGACACACACACACACACACACACACACACACACACACACACACAATCTCTCTGGGCTGACTTCTGCTGTTAATCACCGCCAACAGCAGAAAGGCGGGGCTGATGGCGTCAGCTGAGGGCAACCTGCCCCATGGGGTTCATGGGAGAGGAGGTTCATGGGAGGGTCAGTGCCGGCTTGTTGTTGTGGCGTTTCCAAGTGTGTGTGGGACCGGGGCCATATCCTCCTCCTGTTAATACGCAACAGCTGATGCGGGCCAGGTTATTCTTTCTCAGTTGGCAAAAAACATCTGCCCTTCTAGAAATGTCAGCAGCTTCGCATCCTTCTAGCTCGACCTGATCGGACTGCAGGAGTTCAGCCAGGCTGGGCCGGGTCAGAACCGGGAGGGGAGGCCTGTATAGAAAACCAGGTTGCTGCTGCTTGTTCGGCGCCCAGGCGGTGGTGCCGTCCCCTCAGGAGCAGAATGTCCACACTGATACCCCAGTTTGGTGACAGGAGACATTGTGCCGACACAGGCTGTCCTTCTGATCAGAGAGTACACCCAGGTCTTGAGCATACAGACGCTATGGCCCTGCCTGGGTGTTAACCCCAGCTTCTCGGCTAGACTCCATTCTGGCTCAAGCACTCTCCCTGAAGTTCCCTCTTAATTCAAATAGTGGGGCAGTTTCTCAGTCCTCCCCTGGTCAGCTGAACAGTGGGGCTGCTGGTGCAGAATGGTGTTGTGCGTCTCCCAGGTGGGGCTGCTTTTGCAGAAAGGCCTCTGTGCGTCTCCCAGGTGGGGCTGCTTTTGCAGAATGGCCTCTGTGTGTCACACAGATGGGGCTTCAGTGTGAGGTGAAGTGGGTACCCCTGCTTTGTATAAATCGCTGCGAGAAACTCTGGGAGGAGAGATGCAATATAAATCCAATTATTAGGAGATATGTGATTAAATGTTACCCCCGAGCATTTTAACGGTTTTATCTCATTTGTATCTCAGTGCAACGGTCGACTGCTCTTTTCCTTCCACAAGCCGCTCCACACAAACTGCGCTCTGAATTGTCCCCTCAGCAACTCGGAGCTGCAGTGACGTCATCCGGAACGGCGGCGTGCTCCAGGGTGTCATGGAGGAGATTCCCAGAGCTATTCTTGGGACTGTGACGGGAGGAGGATCCCGCGGAGCCCCTCTGCCTTGGAGTGAAGGATTCCCGGGGAAAGGCCCGCGAGGCTTCGCCGCCGCTGCCCGCTGTTTTCCGCCGTGACAGAAACACGTCCTGCAGGTCCCGAGAGCGGCGCAGGTATTATGGAATAAGATGTAGCTCCCCTCACCTCCCGCTCCCGTGATGTTACTGGTTATAAAGCTGAAATAACAGCTGCCTAGCCACCTCAAATATTTATATATACTGTATATCTCAGTCAGGACGGAGTTGACATGAAGGCGGTGTTAGCTGACCGCACCTTCTAGTCATAGTGACGGCAGAGACGTGTAAAAGGCGCACAGCCGCCAAACAGGCTGTTCGGAGCGCCTGACCTTCCCCAGCAACGCAGGGTCCACAGGGCTGAGGCCGCCAGGAAACGCAGACAAACCGCAGCCGAGCGCCAGGGCTGCACAAGTCCTGATCTCCCCCGCCAGAGATCCAGCGCCTTCTGGCCGGGCTTGGCCACCTGCTTCTGTCTCATTCACGACAGGCCTGACTGATTAACAAGCGGAGACGGCCTGAGATGTTGGCAAGCGGGGTCACTGCGGTGCGAGTCCCTCTCTAGCTGGAAGTCTTGTCTCAGCTCTGGAGCGAGTGTACCTCAGGCGCTTCTGAGAAGTCGTGTTGTCTTTTTTTACAATGTAATCAAACTCCTATAACCGGTAACATATCATTACTGGGGGGTTATGACACTTGCATGAACAAGAAACAATTATTAAAACGTTTCTGTGTGACCTTTGATAAACAACATGCAACGATCGCTAATGGAGTTCGTTCCGACTGGGTTTTGATGTCTTCTAAATGTTATCTTAATATACGACATCATAAAATTCTTAAATGAAACTTCCGACAGAGATACATGCAGCTTTAAAACGTGTTCCTTCTGAATGGATTTCTGTTTCCCTTTCGTTTCACAAGATCCGATTTCCCCACGAGTCCGGAGGCTCTCAGCCCTTCTGGTTTACCGTACACGGCGGGGCTGTACGCACAACTGCCTGTACGTTACATGCGCTAGCCCGTTCCAGCCAAAAGAAGTGCTTTGATTTATCTTGTCCGCAACACCAGCGAAAACAATGTCGGTTCCAGGAAAAACATTTTTTTTTTGTCTTCCCTGAGGCTTATTCCCTGAAATGTGATTACCACCACGTGAGATTCTTCTCTAATGGACGGAAAACGACCGTTACAGCTCTACAGGCTGAAAACGGACCCGCGCGATTCACCGTGATCACTCAGTCGCGGTGGCCGGGACAGACACCGGCCAAGCGCAGCCTGAACTGTGTCTGCAGCGCCCCCTTGCTACACTGGAGGCGAAGTGCAGCCTGGCCGAAAGACCAGAGGTGACCACAGCTGGACAGGCAGACCTGAAGTGAAGGCAGCTGGACAGGCATGCCGGAGGTGACCACAACTGGACAGGCAGGCCGGAGGAGACCTAAGCTGGACAGGCAGGCCAGAATTGACCTAAGCTGGACAGGCAGGCAGGAGGTGACCACAGCTGGACAGGCAGGCAGGAGATGACCACAGCTGGACAGGCAGGCAGGAGATGACCACACCTGGACAGGCAGACTGGGGGTGACCACAGCTGGACAGGTAGAGTTGAAGTGACCAGAGCTGAACAGAAATGCCGGCAGTGACCACAGCTGGACAGGCAGCCCGGAGGTGATCATGTGAGGAGGTGACTCTACAGGGAGACAGTCTTACAGTTACCCAGAGAAGCACTTCACTTGCCCCACAGCCAGTGGGTCACTGTCCAGCATCAGGTGGCAGGGCTGCAGGCAGGAAGCCAGCCCTCCCTCTGCCTGCGTGAGAGTGCCCCACGTCTTCAGTGGCACGGCTGGGGCATCACGGTCTCACTGCACGTCAGAGCCCGGGAGCAGAGTGAGGCAGGGGAGCGTGGCCCCCTCTCTCGGGGCTCGATCCATGCGTGTCAGCCTGCGCGCAGCAGGGGTCAGGGGCGGCGGCCGAGGGGTCTGTCCAGCTACCCCCCACCCGCTGGCGCGCTGAGGATGTCGCCCAGCTGGGTGCATCCTCTGCACATCCTCCCCATGAAAAACAACCGGAGAGGGGCCTCCCTGTGGCCAGGCTCGCTACAGAGTGCACTGGGTCTCTGTGCTGCAGACACCCCATAGTTTTTTATACCAGATTCGCTTTCCTTGCTGCAGACTCTGAGCTGGAGTTATTCTGTGTGTGTGAGACAGTCTTGCTGCAGACTCTGAGCTGGTGTTGTTCTGTGTGTGTGAGAGTCCTGCTGCAGACTCTGAGCT